GATACTTGATACGGGTGCATCAGATCATATAGCCTGCTCTCTTCACTTATTTCATAAATATCTTCTAGTGCCTGATGTCCATGTTTATCTCCCTAACAAAGCTAAGGTTCTAGTCAGCCATATAGGATCAGTCAAACTCATTTCTGGACTATTCCTTCACAATGTCCTTTTGGTCCCTAGTTTCACTTTCAATCTGGTTTCTGTCAGCAAGCTGACAAATGATTTTCCAATCTCACTTTTCTTCCAATCTAATGTTTGCCATATCCAGGACCTAATCTCTACAAGTATGATTGGTTTGACTCGAGAAACTAAAGGCTTATACCACTTCGTACCATCATAAAGCTCGAACGCATCATTTCCTTCCAAAGTTACCTCAGCCTAGAACTTCGAGCCTCAGAAGATTGCCTTGTGGCACTGGAGTTTAGGACATCCTAGTATTGGTAGGTTTCAGCTTGTTAAGCATTGTAATCCTAGTATTCCTAAAGAAGATGTCAAACATTGTGAACGTTGTCATTTGTCTAGGCAGAAAAGATTACATTTCCCTTCAAGTATCAGTTATGCTACAGGCATCTTTGAGTTAATTCATGTCGACATCAAGGGTCCTTTGCCTGTTCAGTCTCATGATGGTTTTTTATTCTTTCTCGCCATTATTGATGACCATTCACGAGCAGTTTGGCTCTATCTAATGCGCCATAAATCTGAAGCTCGATCCCTCCTAATTGGCTTCCGTAATATGGTTCAGACATGATACACAAAAACAATTAAAAGGGTGAGGAGTGATCAAGGGAAGTAGTTCTCTATGTGTGAATTTTACACTGAAAAAGGGATTAAACATGTCTTGTGTTTACACACCTGAACAAAATGGGAGGGTAGAGCGTAAACATCAACATATTTTGAATGTTGGTAGAGCCATTCGATTTCATTCAGGTGTACCCTTACCTTTCTGGAATGACTGTGTTCTTCATGCAGTCTACATAATCAACAGACTGCCTACTCCTTTGTTACAAAATCAATCTTCTTTCCAGGTTCTTTACAAAACATCTCCCTTCCTAGGCCATTTAAAGGTCTTTGGCTGCTTAACCTATGCTACCACTCATGCTCAAGGTAGAACCAAATTAGAACCTAGAGCAAGACAATGTGTCTTCTTAGGCTTACTAACAAGAATCAACGGGTATAAACTCTTTGATTTGGCCTCACATGAGTTCTTTGTTTCAAGAGATGTGACCTTTTATGAGAACATCTTTCCACTTTAGAAGTACACATCATCCACTGAGCAGGATGAAGTGACTGAATCTTCATAGGAATATTTCTTTCTTGCACCAATGCATTCATCTGATGCTCCACAACCTATCACTAGTCCACCTAATAAAAAATCTAATTATGTCAATATTCCTTCATCTTATAGAAATTCCAGTCATGTCAGTAGTTCTTCCACTTCTTCAGCAAAACTTTTCTACTCATGTTACTGATCATAGTTCTTCACATAGCAGTCCTGCACTTGTCAATAATCCTTCTCCTATGAATGATGCATCTAATGTCTTGTATACCGAGTCTTATGAGGATGATGTAGTGAGTAACATGGAAAATAATGATTATGTGAATGATTTCCATGAGCAAGAGCTTGTTCCTCTTGAAGAAAATGAAGCAGAACCACGGGCTAGAGAAAGGCCTCACAGAAATATTGTCCTACCAGTAAGGTTGAAAGATTGTTATTAGGGAGCACTGAGTAGGTATCCCATTGATGAGAATGTTGGTTATGAGATGTTAACTGCAGAAAGAAGAGCCTATGCTCTTAGTATGACAACTCATCTAGAACCAAAAACATTTGCAGATGCTCAACAAGATGAAAACTGGAATATAGCCACACAAGAAGAGTTGGGAGCTCTCATTGCCAACAACACATGGGAACTATGTCAACTACCACCCAACAAGAAGAAGATAGGTTGCAAATGGGTGTGGAAACTTATACTGAGACCAAATGGAAGGATAGAGGGGTATAAAGCCAGAGTGGTTGCCAAAGGCTACACACAAGGGTGTGGTGTGACTTCCTTGACACTTTCTCTCTAGTTTCAAAGAACAATACAGTGAAAACACTATTGGCAATGGCAGCTATCAAAGACTGGAACCTAGAGTAGATGGATGTTTCCAATCCTTTCTTAAATGGATATATGGAAGAAGATGTCTATATGGAGATACCTCTAGGACTATCAATTGAAGGTGATACTACTGGTCTTGCTTGCAAACTGAACAAGTCATTATATGGTTTAAAGCAAACAAGCTAGCAGGCAATGGTTTGCCAAACTAACTGGTTCATTGTTGAAGAATGGTTTTACTCAGTCTTCCTTTGATTACTCAATGTTTGTCAAATGGGTACAAGGCAGAATAGTAGTGCTGCTAGTATATGTTGATGACATTATTCTAGCACGACCCCGATTGGGAGACTTGGAGGCTGTCAAGCATTACCTGAAGAAGGAATTCGAATTCAAGGACATAGGTCCTTTGAAATACTTCCTGGGTCTTGAAATTGCAAGGAATACATATGGAATTAGCGTATCACAGATGTATTGTATGGATTTTCTTGAAGAAACTGGTTTCATGAATGCCAAGAGTTGCAGAAGCCCCATTGAATTCAAAGTTAAGCTTAATACAAGAGACGGGGAGTTAGTAAAGGATCAAGGTTGCTATAAACGACTTGTGGGAAGGTTACACTACCTTACAATCACTAGGCCAGATATAACCTATCCCATTCAGCAACTTAATCAAGATTCAACCTCGAGAGCCACATATGCAAGCTGCATACAGAGTTCTCGGATACCTCAAGGGATCACCAGGACAAGGATTACATTTAAGACTGACTTGATACTGTAAGGTTACAGTGATGCTGATTGGGCTGCTTACCTTGACACACGAAGGTCCATTACATGTTATTGTACTTATTTGGGAGACTCTCTTCTAGCCTAGAAATCGAAGAAACAAACCACATTTTCTCGATCATCCTTTTGAGGCAGAGTACATGGCTTTAGCCCACCTAGTTTGTGAAGTGCAGTGGCTAAAGAGGTTGATTGCAGAGTTGGGAATTACACTACCATCTCCAGTTAATGTTTATTGTGACAACATGTCAGCAATTCAGATTGCTGACAATCCTGTTTATCATGAAAGGACGAAACACATCGAAATTGGCGTGCACATTACCAGGGAAAGAGTTAAGCCTAGGTAGATTAAGCTGAAGTATTTGCGAAGTGAAGATCAGTTGGCTGATCTCTTTACAAAGGGACTCAGTCGTTACAGGTTGCAATTCCTACTTGACAAATTGGGTGTAACAAATGTATACGCCCCAATTTGCGGGGGCGTGATGAAGTATAAGGCGAAAGGAGTCGTGGATCTGAAACAGCAGAAGCAGATTGCTCAAGGGAAAATGGCACCAAGTTTGCAGAGTTCAATTCCAGAAGAAGAAAATTTCGGTTAAAATGTTTCGGAGTGGCAGCCGTTTGTCCTCAACTAAAGGTGTGGAAGAATGGAACGACGACGCTTTATTTCTGTTGTTAGTTTTTACTGTTTAAGTTACTTGGACGAATGACGTTTAGCCACGTCACTGTTACCGTTATATAAACAGTGAAACTTGAACACTATAAATAAACGAAATCTAGAAGTAAGAAAGGCTGAGGATTCCAAAACCCTTTCCCCCATTCTTACTTTTTATAGATAGAAGAATTGATTCGTCGTTCGTGTCTGTACCATTTGTGACTCTCAATCTCTCTTTCAATCTCCACAATGGCAAGGATTTTACTGGAGGAAGAAAGATATCAAAGTAAGAGAGTTGCATCCAGAAATTTGTGACTCTAAATCTCCACAGTGGCGTCGATTTTTCAGGAGGGAGAAAGAGGTCGAACAAGAGACTTGGATCCGGTCATTGTCCATTTGTTATTCTCAATCTCTATAGCGAAAACGATTTTAGGAAGAAAGACAACACTTTTATTAACACAAGCCTTAATTAGTATAAACCTATCATTGTTTTAAAAAGACAATATTTTTATCTTCTAAGTATATAAAATATGGTAGATAATCTTGTTTATTTATTATTTTATGATTTATTATATGGTATTACTTCGGTACGATAGTCTATTTTTCGACACGATTTTGTTAAAAAATATTATTATATAAAAAATTGTATTTTACCGATACAAAACGGTTGAACCACGGTCGTACCACAAAATACCATACCATAAAAGAATCCGATATGATTTCTTGTACGGTTTCGCAAACCATGCTTCAAACCTATCAGAAACTGAACATACGTAGGTCAACAACTAAGCTGTGTGTGCGGATCTCTCCCACGACCTAGTTTTTGGGGTCACAATAGCAATTCAATAGTCTAGATGTCATCCTAGGTCATCATATGCAGAATATCAATCAATATATCAATCCATCAACTCATCATCATCGAACCAATTTATCCAATATGATAATTAAATAGTTTCAGGAACACACAATCAATGCATAATATGAATTTCCGGTTAATTATTAATGGCGCCAAGGTTACCATACACTTATCCTCGCTCGAGCAAATCATCATTTGTGGTTTTCATGCAACCACAATATATGCGCAGAAGTGAGCTAGATCTACCCAAACCCATAATCATCTGGGGTAAAAGTGCAGGCGCTTAATACGTTTATGTGAGTTAGATGACGAATCAAACATTCTCATTTCTCTCATCGATCACAAACAATCCGCAATCAATGAAGTCCTACTAATTAACCGGTCTATGCAACAATCGATCTATAACTAATGCAGTCCCACTGGTTCACGGTCTATGCATACCTCACGTAAAATAGTTCATCAACCCAATTCAACAATCAATGTCTATGCATTGAGTTCCTAGTTCAAATGAATCTAATGTTATTATCTCATCATCATCTCAATCAATCCAGGAGTCAATGCCTTCCCATTGAGTTTCTTTTTTTTTTTGGTAGAACGAGGGCGCACTGCGCCCAAAATAAGATCAAAGAGGAACAAGTCTGGGAGTTTGGCTCCCTACAAGGTCGAAGAGCAACCAGTAATTTAGCTGAGGGCTGGGAATTGATACTAGATGCAGGCCCAAGGGTAGGCTGTGACCCGTAGATGCCAGGAAGTCCGCTACCACGTTCCCCTCTCGGAAAGTATGCTCGACTCGTACCTCCCATTCCCGTTGGATCATCTGCCGCACTTGAACCACCAGTCGGTAATGTGGGTGAGAAGAGGCAGCCGAGTCAAGCAATTCAATGGCCGCTTTAGAGTCCGTCAAGAGAACCACCTTCTTCACGTCCAGCTCCCATGCACGCTTCAACCCCTGCAGCATTCCCATAAGCTCCGCTCGGGTGATTGACCCACCCCCTAGATTCATAGTAAAAGCACCCAAAAACCTTCCTTGATCGTCACGGACCACCCCACCTGCCGTCGAGCTCTGGCTAGCGAGTATCACGGACCCGTCAGTGTTGACGCTGCACCAACCCGCCGGGGGTAAGCTCCAGCCTATCATCCTCCACTCCCTCGCTCGGCTCCCGCCTCCCTGAATCTCGTCTCCCAGTAACGCTTCCCCGATCTGCCCACGTATTTTCTTTGCTGCATGCTGCATTTGGTGAGCCGTGTTCATTTTCTTCTCAAAGACAACAGCATTCCTGTTTTTCCAGAGTAGCCAGCACACGACCGCAAATGTGGAGGCGTCCAAGCGCTCGCTCTTCCCTTTTAGGTAGTATAGGAACCATTTCCTTACATCCTCTTGGAAGAAGATAGCATCTTGTTCATTATCCAGGAATATAGACCAAACTTCTCTAGCAAATGGGCAATCCCTGACGGCATGTATCACCGATTCTCCATCCCCACCACAAACCGGACATACGTCCACCGTTGTTAAGTGTCGCCGGTGTCTCTCGGAATTGGTAAGTAGCCTTCTGTGAGCAGCCAGCCATAAAAATAATCGGATTCTCTGCATAGCTGGGACTCTCCAAACCGTCTTCCACAGCGGGTGGAAGTTCATAGGCATGCTTGCGCTGTCGAGAAATTCATAGGCAGTCTTCAACGAGAAGACCCCATCCGCTGTGAATCGCCAAACCGCTTCATCTGCGCGCTCGTCCTGAGGCACCCCATGCAACTCGATCTGATCGACCACACTCAATGGTAAGAAAGCCCGGATATAGTCCAAGTTCCACTCCCCGTTCAGGGTCATCTCAGCCACGGTCAAGGGGAGGGCCTCCTGGGGTAAGTTGGCCGCCTGATCTGCTAGTACAGGTCCATCTGTTAGCCAACGATCCGTCCAGAACATAGCCTGTCTTCCGTTCCCCACATTCCACAAAGTTGCGTCCGGGACCTGAGGTAACACTCGCAAGACACCCCTCCAAAGGTTAGAGAGTCTTCCCGATGTCCTCGGAGAAATAGAATCTCCCATCCTACGCAGGTACTTCCCCCTAATCACCCTCGCCCATAGGCTATCAGGCTCCTTCATTAGCCTCCATGCAATTTTCATCATGAAAGCTTCGTTTAGGGTTCTGGCATCGCGCATTCCAAGTCCTCCTTCATCCTTCGGCCGGCACAGCGTCTGCCAGTCTATTAAGTGGATTTTCCTTCCAGCCTCCGAGCTGCCCCAAACAAAGGCTCGGATCTTCTTGTCAATATAATCTAGCACAGAAACTGGGAGTAGAGTCGTCTGCATCGTGTAGGCAGGAAGGGAAGCTAATACCGACTGGGCCAGGGTGATACGTCCCGCTAAAGACAGAGCCGATGCATTCCACCCTGCTAATCTGGCATCAACCTTATCGATCAGGTCCTGGAATGTAGTCTTCGAAACTCTATCATGAATGACCGGGACCCCCAAATACCGGCCCAGGTTTAATGTCTGCGGTATGCCGAGGCTGTTACTGAGCGAGTCCCTCGTAGCAGTAGTCACATTCTTCGAGTAAAAAACTCTTGACTTGGGTTTGCTAATCTGCTGCCCCGAGGCTCTGCCGAATGTTTCGAAGACCTGGTTTATGACTTGGACCTGCGTAGCGGAAGCCACACCAAACAGTATGAGATCGTCAGTGAAAAACAAGTGGGACAGTATCGGACCTGAGCTAGAGAGTTGGATCGGTCTCCAGCTCCCCTCCTCCAAGGCGTTCTGGATCAAATGCCCCAATCTCTCCATACACAGGGTGAAAATGTACGGAGAGAGAGGGCAGCCTTGTCGAAGTCCCCGAGACGGCGAGAATTCCTCCGTCAGGCCGCCATTCCACTGAATTTGCATTCTTGCCGTGGAGATGCACTGCATAGTTAAGTCTGTGAACTTCTCTGGTAGTCCTGCAGCTTCTAGGGTATCTCGCACGAAACTCCATCTGATCCGGTCGTAGGCCTTGGCCAGGTCCACCTTTATCACCATCCAACCAGATCGTCCCGTCTTAGCCCTCATAGAGTGAACAACTTCCTGCAAAACACAAATGTTGTCAGTTATATGCCTTCCCGGTACAAAGCTCGTCTGAGTTTCATGCACCAGGGATGGCATGAGCGGTTTCAATCTCTCCGCCAGGCATTTAGTAATGAGCTTGTAGGCTACGTTGCACAGACTGATCAGACGAAATTGATCAATCTGGCTGGGCCGTTTGACCTTGGGAATAAGAACCAGGATTGTTTCATTAATCTCCCTGATTCTCGGCGGCTCCACCCAGCATTTCATCGCGAACTCATGCACTGCTGGAGCTGCCACATCCCAAAACTGCTGGTAAAACAGCGGGTTGAGTCCATCCCTTCCCGGCGCCTTGAGCGGCCCCATCATCGACACTGCTGACTTCAGTTCATCCACCATAAACTCCTCTCCCAGTTTCTCCCATTGCGGCATCGGGGGAAGCGTGAAACCATGCATCATGGGAGAAGACTGCGAGCCCTCATCCGTAAAAAGAATGATGTAGTACTGCCTCGCCATTTGGCTTAGGCTGTCTTGATCCTCCACCCACTCCCCCTGTGCATTCTTTAGGGCCACTATGCGATTACGTTTCCTTCTGCGTACTGTTCGGGCATGAAAAATTTTTGTATTTAGGTCTCCCCACTTCACCCAGTCTGCACAAGACTTCTGCCGCCATAACATTTCCTCTTGGGCGAGCACCTCTTCCAATTCCCCTCGAAGTGCAGGAAGCTGACCCTGCTCCGAATCACCGCCCCACTGTTCCTCTAGCTTCTCTATTCGCCAGATCAAGTTGTCCTTCCGCCGCAAGATGTTCCCAAAGGTATGCTTGTTCCAATGAGAGGCGTCTCGCGCGAAGGCTTGGGAGCTGCTCTTCAGATCGGTCCCTTTCGCCCATGCTTTCTTCAACATCTCAGGAAATTCCTTGTGGGTTAGCCATGACGCCAGGAACTTGAATGGCTTCGGCCCCGCCGCTGCGAATTCTGGGCATGTGCGTATTAACAGAGGTCGGTGGTCCGACTTTATCCGGGGCAGGTGGCGCACCGTCGAGTCCGGGAATTGCTCTGTCCACCGAAGATTTGCTAGGCCGCGGTCGAGTCGCTCTTTGGTTCCCCCACGAAACCAAGTAAACGGCGGACCAACAAACCCCAAATCGACCAGGCCAGTATCCAACAACACATCCTGGAACTCCCTCACTCTGCTAGCATCAAACGGGGCACCCCCGAACTTCTCAGATGAGCTCAACATCGAGTTAAAATCTCCTGCTAATAACCACGCCATCTCAGCCTCCTCCGCCATCGAACGCAAAGACTCCCACAACATCCGTCGCTGGATTAATGCCGGGTGCCCATAAACTGCCGTGAATAGAAAATGGACAGGCCCCATCTGGACTTGGACATGAAGCATTTGGGTTGAACGATCCTTTTCACTGATCTGAACCACCGACTCGTCCCACAGCAACCATATTCCGCCTGAGAAGCCTGCAGCATCTACCACGAAGTGCTTATCCATACCCATTTGGTCAATCACCTTTGTCGCATCGTCCCCACTAATTCGCGGCTCCACTATGACTACCATATGAGGCCTATGTTTCCTCTTGTATTCCCATTGAGTTTCTCATTCAAATCAATCTCATGTCATTCATCTCATCATCATTCTTAAGCTCGTATTCGTATTACGATGGTTATTTATCAATCATCCATCTTGAATTTATCTCAAGATTCCAGTCACCATTTCAATTCCTACAATCCACAATAATTCATTTATATCATCATTTCTCAAATATTCACACAATTTCATATCTTCAATTATCACTCAAACAATCATATAATCCAAAATCCCGTAGTCAACAACGATTATCAATCATTCATTCAACAACTAATCATAGTTCATTATATTATTAATCTTTACTATATGACTTACATATCTCATTTCACATCAATTCCAAATCATAGTTCAACAATCAAAATCCACCATTAAGATTTTCAAAAATAATCCACACGGAGTTTACCAAGATAAACTTATTTTACGGGTTAGAACATATTTACATATCGTTAGCTGCGACCGCATAAGAGTATATTTATTTGATTTGCGAGTAACCACAAAACTCACAGTTTTGGTGAGGTTAACGGTTTAACTGCAATTATATTTCCACTCTTTCCAAAACATATCGTTAGCTGCGACCGCATATGAGTATATTTATTTGATTTGCGAGTAACCACAAAACTCACAGTTTTGGCGAGGTTAACGGTTTAACTGCAATTGTATTCCCACTCTTTCCAAAACTGTTAAATCGATTTTTGATTAGTCAATAACATAATGCCCTTGACGGTTTGATTTTGATTCTTGACAATTTGCTTGATTTGGTTGTTGATTTTTCATTGTTAATCAAACCAAACTGACAACCCTGACCCGACCCGACCAAATGAAAGCACTTTGCTTAAAGCTCATAATTACCATATATTTAATTAAACTTCCCACCTCGTAGAGAGCCCCAAGAGTCCCCACTACTCTACACTAACACATGACCTTTTGCACTTTTTCATTTTTTATTTTCTCACAAAAATGTATAAAAAACCAACACAACTTGCCACCCCCAAAATTACCATTTTTTGGTTTCTCTCTTCCAATGTGCTTAATTTTTTTAGTCTATAAATTCCAAACACCAAACACCCACAGAAACCTCTCCCCCTTCCCTTTCCTTAATCCCTTCCCCTTATCCTCATTTCCAGCCTTTCCTTTCAAGCTCTTTCCTTCTTCATTTCTCATTAATAATCCCTTCCCTTAGTTTATATATTCCACCATCTCCCCTCTTCCCAACCCCTAATCATCTTATCTTCTTCTTAAACACTCTTCTCGATCGCCTTAATTAAGTTGTTAATCCGATCTCTCCACAGATCCCTCTTGTGGGCAAACCAAAATTTGATGCTAAACTTTGTTCTTCCTAGCATTCGAGACCCATGTCTCCGGTCGTAAGTGAAATCCTTCTCTCCGGTCTGACGATCAACTCCACCCTCCGCCGCCGCACCCACCTCGTTCAATCCTTCTCCGTTTGCTTCCTCTACTGGTTCTACGTTTTCTCATGAACTCCCTCCCCCCAATTCCTTTGCTAATTTCTGTATTCTAGCTCGCTTCTTTTCCCTGTTGCGATTAAATCATTTCCCAGATCTGTTAAGGGGGGAAAAAATCCTTTTTAGTTTTCCAGATTTTGTTTTGTCCTGTTGTTACTTTCTGTTCTGCGATGGCGTCTTCAAGCGTGGGAGCTTCGTCGGGGTCTACCGGCGGCGCTCTGATGAGGAACTCCAGCTCGGAGGAAGATCTGAATCTGGGCTTGATGGACGAGAGGAAGCGGAAGAGGAAGCTCTCCAACAGGGAGTCGGCGCGCCGATCCAGGATGCGGAAGCAGAACCACCTCGACGAGCTGTCGGCTCAGGTGGCTCAGCTCACCAAGGACAACGCCGAAATCGTCGCCAGCGTGAACCTCAAGACCCAGCTCTTCCTCGGCGCCGAAGCCGAAAACTCGGTCCTCCGCGCCCAAGCCGCCGAGCTGAGCCATCGGCTCGACTCGCTCAATGAAATCGTCAACTACGTCGACTCCCTCCGATACGCCGCCGTTCCCGCTCCCACCCCCACCCCCACCGCCGCCGGTGGTGCTACCGGCGCTACTACTGCTCTTGAGGCTGCGGACGACTGTTTCATGATGATGAACAATGAAAACCCGTGGAGCTGCTCGGCTTTCCAGCCGGTGATGGACATGGTTATGTACTGATACAACAAGTAATGATATTTGGGATTTGATTATATTTTTCTTAGTGTTGGAAAAGGAAAGTATTGTTCATAAGGTCTCCTTTAGTGGCAAACGGGATGAAATTGCATGCTTTTCCTTTTTCGGGGTACCAATCTGCAAAATGGGCACCGGCGCAAACCACTGCAATGAACGACGAGAGAGAAGACAATGGCGATTGGTTGAGTATTGTTCTGTATGAATTAATTTGTGGAGAAAAATAAAATAGTTGATTTCTTCCTTGTATTGTTTCTTGGTCAGTGTGAATTAATAATTAATTATATGGAAATGAAATCCTTCCCCCCAAATTGTGCTGCTCTCCTTCCCTCTCTGTATTGATTGTATCAACCATTAGAGTTGGAAACGTAACATCTTCCTGTATCTACTCCTCGACCTCTTTTAATTACGTTTAACAATCTATATAATATCTTCCAGCTCGAATTTCGAAAGATCTAAATCTTATATTCGTTTTCATTCTGTCAGCAATCAGCAAGCATCCTTCTTGGGTTTGGAAGGTCATCCAACGGTTATGCACCGCGAGGTGTGAATCTAACGGTGTAATAGGGCATTCTTAGTAAACTACCGCAAGAAACTATTTTAGAAAATCTACATGTAAGTATCCCTAAGTAGGGGCTACGTGGGTCGGGGCTCAAGATAGGGTGCATAACTCATGGTTATGCACCCATCAATAACCAAATCTGGAACCTCCATTTAGAAAATCCAGATCTAAGGATGGAGAATTAAATGTCATTTTTATTTTCACTAGCTTTCTTAATTGACTCATATTTTTTCGTTTTAACTCGGATTTTAATTTTTTTTGCACAGATGGAACGAGTTCATCGTGCTCTACAAAATGAGATCAATTTTCAATATTTTTTGAGGAAAAAAATATTCTGGCCTCTCGGTACCAACTGCATACCATATGGTATCTTCTTCGTTTTTCATTCGTTTTTGAAAACGTTTGCACAGCAGGGACGAGTTCATCATGATCTATTGGATCTACAAATTTCTGGGTGAACAAATTACAAGACCAAAAAACACCACACAATACCATACAATACCACCCTGGTACGGGGTGGTATTTTATGGTATCCTATGGTATACAATGTTAAAAGTCGTAAATGACAATTAATATACTTCTACTATCATGTATTCAATCATCCTACAGTCTTGGTTTGTTCATACCACCATGATACACTTTTCAAACCATACAATACCACCCTGGTACGGGGTGGTATTTTATGGTATCTTATGGTATACAATGTTAAAAGTCGTAAATGACAATTAATATACTTCTACTATCATGTATTCAATCATCCTACAGTCTTGGTTTGTTCATACCACCATGGTACGCTTTTCAAACCATAGGTATGCTCTTATTTCAATACCAGTCAAATACCATATGGTATAGACTGGTAAAAAATGGCTCAATTTTTTTTGCTCAAAAAATATATCAAAGTGGATATCATTTTGAAGAGCACAATTAATCTGATCTAACTGTGCAAACAAAATTAAATTTCGACTTAAAACGAGTGAGAAATTGTCGGTCAAAGATTAAGGAGGAGAAAATTAAAGGCTTTCCAGGAGAGAGAGGATGCTGATGTCATGCTGATGTGGGCGGGTTACTCATAGTTACTCACCATAAAGTTACTCACCTGATCCATTCCCGTGGGTCGGGTGATTTGGCTTTAGGCATTTTAATCTCCCAACCTATGCACTACAGTTTGGGAAATATTAAATCACAACCCACAAAAAAAAAAAAAAAAAATCCTACGGCTTTTTCTAATTGGGTTGGATCGGATTGGCGATATTTTTATGGAAAAACCCAACCCAACACAAAATATGTAATTATTCTACACCATAAAAATGTTTTATAGCTAATTAAAAATTCAAAAGAATAAACCGAGGTGAAAGGTATCAAAATTCACAAATGTTGTTTGAATTTTAATAAAATTTGATTTACTTCAACTTATGTCTAGTTTTTTTCACGATATTTTTTGAAATAGGCTAAAAAGGTTATAAATGAATGCATCCATAATATGCTATTCTATTAAAATTGTACACACGAAAAAGGATTACGTGAATCACAGTTATATTAAATTTATGTCTAAACTTTAAGCCGAAAATGCATTAGATTAGGGAGACTATGAGAGAATAACATGGGGAAATATCTTAATTTTCTCATAAGTATGGCTATATACGACATGAATATTTTTTTGGATAAGAACCCATACCAATAATTGGAACACGGGTTGGGTCGGATTCTACGGGTTGTGTAATCCAAAATCCAAACCCTCCACAAAAGAGACGGGTTGTACAAAAGAAAACTCTCACTCAACTAAAACCTTCATTTTAGCGATAAATACGGGTGGTTTCGATCGGGTTGGACGATTGAGTCGGTTTGCGGGTGTGTTTGTTCACCCATATCCATAACAACGCTTGCATCCTGAAGTTGTGGATTGCTAGAACGCACAATCCTACAAGGTAAAGACATAATTTGAGTCAATTTAGTGGGGTTTATGAAGAGTAGTTGCTTCTATTTTGTGCATGGATTGCTACTTGCTGTTCTAGTTAGTGGGGTTCACACCTCAATCGATTCCCAATCTTGGTTATAGATGTGAGCAATTATTTGTAGCTAGGGCACGGAATTGTATGATGTGTAGTGGACAAAGAGATGATTTGGCGGGTGACATCATTTGTTGTTTTCATGATTGATGGATTGAATCCTCTCTCGTTTGGACAATAGTACTAGTGGACCATTACTATGAAAAGCCATCATATGGGGATTGAAACGGATTAGAGTGGAGCTGATTTTGGTATATATCATCTCTTTGAATCATGATTTTAAAATCATAATCATTTCTATAATTAAAATTGGGTAAATACAATATATTAGCCATAACTATTAAGCAACGGGGAATTATAACCATAATTATCGAAATACAAATTATTAGCCATAACTATTGTTGCGGGTCAATATTTGGCTAACAGCCCGTTACCGTTTTCAAATTTTTAACGGAGAAGGCCATGTCATCATCGTAAAAAATATTGTATGATGACTGCCACGTGGGAGCCAACTCATCATTGTAAAATTTTAGTCATCATTACTTTTAGAAGTGTTACAAAAACTTCAACGGTTGGCTAATAATTTGTATTTCGATAGTTGTGGCTATAATTTTCCGCTGCTTAATAGTTATGGCTAATATATTGTATTAACCCTTAAAATTGTGTGAGATGTAATATTTCATACAAAAACCAACTAGTATGCGATTTGGGGAAAACCCACCTGCACCATTCCGTACAATCATGTATAAAATTTTATGCAATATAAAAAAATAAAAACTTCATCATGTCAATATAAAATGAAATTCATTTGTCAAATTGTTTGTAAAACTTAGAGAAATTGAATAAGATCTTAGTCTAGATAATTATAATGTTTTAGAGAAATGGATGAGCGAAGTGTTAAAGTGAATGAGTATATAACATAGTTGTAATACATACTCAGGGTGGGTTAGGTGCCACTACTTAAAATACAAAAAATCACACCAAGCTCATTCAGTGGCAGACCCAAGAATTTTATATAGGGGTATCCCATTCAAAAATCAAATTAAAAAGTATTAAATATGAAAATATTCAACTAGTATAAATTACAGAAAAATGCCATGATGTGTTTTCATATTTTAAAAAACAATTGTAAAATACAGTCACTGTCTATGGTGCTCAACATATCTATATATCTTACTAGACAATCATTCGCAAACTAATCGCATATTTGATTGCGAAACTTGTTTTAAATGTAACCCAAAGTTGAAAAAATCACTCAATACTTAAAATTGCAACTGGTAAAATCTATAAAACTTCTTGAAGCAATAGACCAATGAATATGATAGGTTCACTTTTGTCTCCCCCATCGACCTGATATAATTCAACAATAGAATACCTCATCATTCTTAACACAATGCTAATAATTCTCAAGCTAACGTAGAAGAAAATAATAATAGAAAGGTAATCAAGCCCAACCAAGCAAGATTTGTGCCAAATAGGAATACCAATAAGAACATATTGATTCTCCAAGAAATAGTCCATTCGATGTCAAGGAAGTCAGACAAGAAGGGAGATATGTTTCTCAAAATCGATCTTGCCAAGGCATAGGATCGACTTGATTGGGACTTTCTGAAAGAAACTTTGCAAGCAGTGGGAATTCATGCTGATGGAGTGTGATTAATCATGACCTGCGTCACCACAACATAGCTTCAAGTACTATAGAACGGAGATGATACAGAGGCTTTCAAGTTTGGCCGAGACCTTAGACAGGGATGTCCTCTGTCTCCTTACCTCTTTACATTAACATTATACATTGAACGATTAGGCCACTATATTACTAGAGAGGTTATTTTGAAGGTAGATGGAAACATGTTAGACTCTCTAAAGGAGGCTATGATCTTTCATAACTCTTTTTTTGTTGACGATCTCGTTGTGTTTTCTGAGGCAAACCTGAGGCAAGCTAAAATTTTCATGAAATGTATTGAGAAATACTTCTTTGCTTCGGGAGAGCTTCTTAGCAAGGAGAAATCCAGTGGGTTTTTCTTCAAAAATCTTAGGAACCTTGAGAAATCTTGCATCTGTAATCGTCTTGGCATCCAAAACACCTATGCCTTAGGGAAGTACCTGGGTGTCCCTGTTTTATATGGTACGGTCACTAGAGATACTTATAAATACATGGGTCGGGTGGTCCGGGTTTAGCCATTCTAATCACCCGACCCATGCACTACAGTTTGGGAAATATTAAACCCAAACCCACCCAAAAAAATTAAAATCCTACGGTTTGTTCTAATTGGGTTGGGTCGAATTGGCGGTATTTTTAAGTAAAAAATCAACCCAACACACAAAAATGTAATTATTCTATACCATAAAAATATTTTATAACTAATTAAAATTTCAAACGAATAAACCGAGGTGAAAGGTGTCAAAATTCACAAATGTTG